ATCCTCAGTTTCCTCTGATTTCCAGCTTCCTCCGTCTGCCTCTCCCTGCCTTGGGTGGCATGTTAAAGTTGAATTAAAGTTGAATTTACTGTGTGTTCTGCTCCCAATAATCTCCGATCAGCAATTTAATTTCCCATGTGCGGCCAAAGGTTTTATACCATCATCGGGAGGTCACGTGACGCCTTTGTGACCTAGTTCGAACGCATCGTACTCTCAATACGATGTTGTGTAGCCATTGTGTGTCCTGCGTGTGTCCTGCGGGTATAAACTACTATAAAAATGCAAATCTTCGTGTGTGGTTCGGGTGCCATCGTGTGGCCTTCTGTAGGCTTCGTACTTGCTTCGGCTGTTGCTTGGCTGTTGACCAAGTTCGGGGCCATCTTCATTCGAAATTCACAATTCCATATTCGTGTGTCCATCTGGTGTCAATTTCGGGACAGTGTGATGCCAGCCTTAGAGAAGACCAGGAAATGATGGATACATGGATCGTGTTAAAATCAATAGGCATGCAATGTTTCTAAATAATAATGATCACGCCTCCAAACACAGATTAAAATTAAAGTAACGTGCCTGTTTTGAAAATTTAAGAAGTAGAAAGTACAGGTATTTGTGTTAAAAATGTAAGAAGTAAAAGTAAAAAGTCGACAGAAAAATCAGTAGTGGAGTACATTACTGATACCAGAAAAATGTACTTAACAAAATATTTATACTCCACTACTTCCCACCTCTGGAAAACAAAATCCCAGCATTCCATCCTGCCTATGTCTCTCCTCATTCCTGTCTTCATCTCCGTGGCTGTACCTTCCATTACTAAACACAACTTGTATAAGCAGTTGTTTCCTCGTGCAGCCATTAGCTCTGTTCCCTGTCAGCTGACGTTAGATCCGCTATTTTAGCACCCCTAATGCTATGTTTGCTTTGTTCCCTGTCAGCTGATGTTTGATCATCCACATAGCACCGCCAATGCCGTGTTAGCTTTGTGAACTGTTAGGTAATGTCGGATCAACCGCAGCTTAGCCAGGCTTATGTAATATTAACTTTGTGTGCTTTTAGCTTATCTTGGTGGGCCCGTAGTTTGTAATATTAGCACGTACTGAGCAATGGGAATACATTATAATGTGATTATCTGCGACACCTCTGCCAATAAATTAGTGTGGACACACCCCTGATGAAGGCATGTGGGTTTTTTTTAAAATTATAATTTGGACAGGAGCACCCGCAAATGAATTATTTAAGATTTTTAATGAGTGCTACAACAAAATGTATTATTTTTTAATTGTCATAGCAGCAAATCATTCTTTTTGAGTATTAAACATGTTTGTTACCCTTGAAATATGACATAAAATCAATAAAGTTGCCGATTAATAACGTCAGTAGCTAATTAATTATTTCGCTTCTAAGTCCTATTTATGAAAAACATCAAACTTATACTTCTCCCCTCTCACAGTTTATGTTGTGCAGCATATTTTACATTACATTTTACATTATATAAACCCCAATAATTCAGAATCAGAAATTATTTATTCGTACCACATAGGGGAAATAAAGCAGCAGAGATACAGTGCAGATACAAGGAAGAATGAGAAAGATTAGAGTTAAATATTTAATAAAAAGGCAAGCACAAAATAATAAAACAATTATAATAAATTAAAAGTTCACCATGGTAAAAAAAAGGTAGCAGTATTAAAAGAAAATATTAAGTGAAGATATAGCAGTTTTTGAGCCAGTAATGTTAGCAAATTGTGAATAAATATTAAAAAGTTGAAGTGTATATTGCACATAGGTGTATATTACACATGAGCAGTGGTATTGCACAGCATATTTTTTACTTGCAGTGTTATTGCACAACAGTGATGCTGATGCTCAATGAAGTCAGCAGGTTAAACAAAGTCACATGAGACTACTGTATCAGTTGGTTCACCATCTTCTCCTGCCGTAAAGGTCTCCTATTATACTGTTTTTCATCAATATGTTATAGGTCTCAGATACAAACATGTCTCGGAACTGTTTTGCTCGAAATACCAAACAGATCGTGCAATGTAGCATCCCATAATCCCCTCTGTTTCAGCCCTGTTTCCAAAGTGCTGATTCTCTGTCTGTTACTTTAGATGAAAATAAGGAGCCCCTCCCCACGCCCCTCTGAGAGATAGTTGGTTAAAAAGAACACAATGGTGCTCTAGGAGGAGATTCAGGTGATAAATGGTTACACAAGCCCAACAATTTGTATGACATCATAAAGTGGGCGAAATCTGATCAGCTCATTTTCAGACAGGTTTTTATATAAATGGATCAGAACAAAAAGTGAGAATCTTTTTTCCTGAAACTTTCAGAATCTCTTTCCACAGAGGGGACACATGTTTGTGTATAAAAGACATGAACAAGTGGATTTTGCATAATAGGTGACCTTTATACCCTACTTAAAACAATAGTTAACTAATGAAACATCTTCAGGAAATGTTAAAGAATGAAAACAAATCGGACCAGAAAAGTAAAGTAAAGTCATTATCATTTTGAATGAGATTCAGATGGAGACAGGATGAAAGAAGCTGTCACACAGTAAATAAAGGCTGAGTTGCTGAACTACGGTGAATTCCAATTACCCTCCCGTGGACGAGACAAGTGTCAGACACGTCGCGCCTTTGTCAACACCGCAGATGAGGAGCTGACACCTTCAGGGTCTTCATTTTATTTTAATGCATAGAGGTGGAGAGGTGAGTGGCGATAGCTGTCATACAAGTGCTGATGCAATGCATTACGGTCTATTCATGTGAATATTTATGATAAGAAAATGAGGAAAAAAAGGAATTCATAAACATAGCTATCTCACTTCAATGGCTCCAAGGTTACATTTCAGAATTGTCCTTTACGTTTCAGTTTCTTTGGAAGTGTATTTTTTAAATTATTTATGAGTTCAGGATCCTGTTGTATCTCCATTCCTGTTTTCACTCTTCTTCCTAAATAAGCTTAGTTTAACCCCGAGGACAGTAAGTAACACTATTCTGGCCGGTTGACCTGGAGTAAGCACCTGAAAGATTTTCAAAATGTTGCATATATAGTGAATCCTGCTGGAATACTCATACTACAAAATACTCTGGTTTGCAACTCATATTGAAAAAAAACGATACACTTGATTTACACTAAAGACACCTTGTGCACAACTCTTTTCAAACACATGCACACACACACACACACAGAGTAGCTGCCAACACCCACAAACAGCAGACATTTCATGTAAAGTAAACCATATCCTGCTCGGACGCTGTCTAATTAATGACCTACACAGCATAAGACACACCACTGCGTTCCGTGTCTTCACTGAGGGGTAAAACATGGAAATGAAGAGGATCGTTATGCGTAATGCATCATTAATGAAAGCATTTTGTTGCACTTATGCAGAAAAATAAAAAAGCCAAGCTGAGATGTGCCAGAGGGCAAAAAGAGAAGAGAATGTGGGGCAGCTGGATATTATTCATCCACCCCATGATATTCAACCTTACACTAATACTTCCATATATGCTTTGATTTGTATTTAGTTGTTCTTGCACACCAGTGATTCAAGGTATTATTTGACGGACTGAGGGGTTTTCATATAATCAAAAAAGAAAAATCTCTAAACGTTTTTTCAAAGTAAGAGTATGGTAGTTTAAAGGAGACCTATCATGCTATATTTAAATGATATAAGGTATATTTATACATTTTATTTTTCAAAATACCAAACGGATCATTTTTTAGCCATGCCTCGTTTAGCTCATTTTCGCTCTATTCCAAGCCTGTCTTTGAAAATTCTGAGCAGCAGCTGACCACGCCCCCCTGCAGAAGAGCGGGGCATGCGCCGGCGAGAGTCACGTTACCATGCTTGCTGTGATTACGTGTGGAATAAACATGTCATCTCAGAGCAATGCATGTGTTCAAGCATATTATGAATTTGATCCAGAGACTGACCCTGAAGCAGCGGAGGTTTTGGTGGAGGTGGAAACATCTCGGTTGCAGCAGGACGTTTCTGAATGGTTAGTTGACAAGCTGTTGTCCCTATTTATTTTACTCTGTTACGATGCTTGCTACTTATTCCGTTCATATGTTGGCTAATTAGCAAGAATGCAATGTGTACAGTTTGTAACGCAAAAACAGCAATACATATTTATAAAGGGAGACATTCATATTTTCAGCATATATACAATGGCCTCATTGCGTTTATTAATAGTTTACAGTCCTTTTCTTCCAACATCGTGCAACAACCGTTGGAAAGTTCAATAACTTAGGGTGATAAAAAGTATAACTCCAACAACACCTCAGTTGTCAGCAATGTGTGTAGTTTCATGTGTTTTTAAAAGCTCAGTTATTGACTTCTTTCTACAGGTGTACATGTGCAAATTGTGCCACGATGCCTTCTGAACCGGAGAATGTGTGCTGCATGGAGATACCACAGGTAACATTTTTGATAGCTTCACTAAGTTGTCTGTTTAGAGAATACATTTTTAACATGTCATTCAATATATCTTTATCACACTAGGTGTCAAGACGGATGCAGGAACTTGAAGACTCTGTTAACTGTATGGTGGACCATCCTGGATTGGAGCCTGTGTGCCTGAATGTGTTCTCCCTGCAGAATGCATTTAATATTTACAGAGCTGAACATGGTGGACTACAGTTGAGGCAAATAGAGCAGTGAGTGGTTTGTTTGTTTTGACTGAAATTGTAAAACGAATGCTAATATTGTTCATGGAAATAAATACTGGTGTATATGGCTTTATGCAATCTTTCATTGTACATGTACTATTATATATATATATTATTACACAGCAATGGCATAACACGCCCAAGTGTACGACAAAAAAAGTCCACACACAACCTTATGCTTTTGAAATCAGAATATTCTTTACCCATCCAAACATAAATAATCACGACACATTTGATATCAACTCTGAACTTTATTGTCAAAATGAACGGTTCTTTGAACCCATAAAAAAAAACTAAATGTACTTGTATTATATACAAATGACACTAAATATATTTTTTAATGATTTCAGGCGTCACAGGTATCTAGCCTACAGAAGCTTTGTGAGCTGGTGCTGGGGCTTCCTTGGACGCAGGATCAGAGTGGTGATTCCGGCCTGCGTTGTCCTCAGGATTCGCAGAGAGTTTCCCGATCCGCGAAATATCTATGTTGGGTTCAGACAGCAGCCAAATTGAACCGAGTAGCATACCCGGAGATGACCTCCTCCCTGTCAGGTCGCTCATATTGGGAACACAGGTCCTCTGGGATGGGTATCTTCAGAAGCTCCTGTGTGAATGGTGCAGGGTCCACAAAGACTTGGTCGAAGATGAGGTCCATCAAGTTGGCCACGTAGCCTGTGCAATGTTAAAAAAAGCACAACAAAAAATGTGGTTTACATTAGTATATGCATGTACAAAACTGAAAGTTCTTTTTAATTTATTTATTTTATATTTGTAAATAGTTGTATAATAAATATTTTAAACACTTACAGAATGTGGGGTAAGTCTTTACTGGTTTTGCTCTGCATTCTCCCTTCCTGGCCTTTGGGAACTGCAGTTTATACAGAGGCTTTCCAGTGGATGTAGTGGCTTGTGCACGCTCAGCGTTTTCATTGTAGTGCAGGGCTGCCAGGTACAGTCTTTCATTTCCGCCATGAGTAAAAAAAAAATGTAAATAATAGCAAAGGATGTACAAATTGTCACTAATTAGTAAGTAACTATGGTTTATTTTACCTGCACAACATTCCAAGAAATGGAAACACAACATTCTTTGGAGCAAAGCGCAGGATGACGGCATGGAATGACTCCAAAGATGAAGTCTGGTGGTGTGGGCTGAGTTTGGCCACAGCTTTCAAAATCCTCTTGGTTGAGAGAATTGTCTCCAGCTTGTGAAAGGCCGGCATTCCTAAGAATTTGAAAATCAAAGTCATATTTGAATTGTCATGCTTTATAGATTGTGTCTGACAACATCCTGTATTCAATAGTTGTCCCTTACAAATATTTATAGAGGAGTAATGTAATATGGTTTATGAACAACATACCTGCAGCCATCCATTGGTATTGCGCAATGCGCAGTGGATGAAGGCACTTGGGGAACAGGGGGTCATCATGAGAGTGGATATCCTGCACGTGGTTCAGGATGGAAGTCCATTTGGCCACTCTCTCAGGCCCGGTGGTGGAGGTTGCTGCAGTCCAGTATATGTGGTTTCTTATACTCTTCACCCACCCTCGAAGTTTTTCGCAGTCCTTCTTTTTTGCAGCCTTCTCCAGTTGCTTAGAAATCCCTAATAAATACATTTAACATGTAGTTAATATACATACAAGTTTACTCAAAATATTATTATACTAATGTGATTGTAGGAAGCCGGGTTTGTGTCTAAATAAAATAATGATTGTATTTACAATCGATTTATTTACATGGAAATTAATATAAAGAAAAATACCTTTTTCTATGTGCCACACATCAAAGAATTGGGTGATGCTGCTTTCCCTTAGGAATTTCTGAATTTGCAGATGTCTGTCCGTGACAATACAGTCCAGAGTCACACCACGTTCCTTTAACAACTCCAGACTCCTTTTCAGGCCCTCTAACTCCATGTGGTAGCTTCCACCAACCTCATTGCTCTGTTATGACACATACAAATAACCATTGATACACACATTTTAAATATAACGTGCAAACAGTGTTAAAGAAAAAAACATTGATATTTCATTTCACCCCACTTACCTGAACCAACTGGAGGTCAACGACTTTGTTGTTCTTCAGGTCCATCATAGTGTAGCTTCCGAACTTTGCAGAGTGGCCTGTGAAAATATGTTTTACAGTAATTACTTTTCTCTGCGGATGGTGAATTTGTATTTTTGCTTGTAGTGTTTAGCATATGTTTTTCAGGAACCATTAATTGAACAAATCACACATAGTGAAACCCCTTTCTGAAATGTAAAATGTGAATTATATAAAAAATACATACCTGGGGAGTCAGCCCTCATATCACCACCAACTATCACTTTCTCCTCTGCATGGAGCTTCTGTAGCATGCCTTCCTGTGATTTTTGCCAGTAAGAAACAATCGATGGCTCAATGAACATCCTGGCATGCCTTCGGAAGGTGTTGTATTTGCATAGCTGCATATTCATTGCTTTGAAGACCTAATGGTTGAAAGAAAACCGCAAGAATACATTTTAATCTCAAAGATCACCTGTAGATGTGTCAATGAGGAGAACCTGGAAAGTGCAAATGAGCTGCCCTTTTTTTAAACAGGGAAAGAGCTGAACATGTCATTAGGGGTGCTTACTCTACAGTGCCCCTTTCACATCTCTTCTCTTTCTCCACACCACCCTCCCAAAAGATCTTTACATATTAGCATGGGTCGTTACCTAACAGTGCCCTATTCCCACCTTTTCTCACTCTTGTTATTGTTACCTTGTCCTATCTTATTCAACAACAACATTTGCATTTTCAAACATTGGCAAAACAATCTTCTGCAGTTAATTTACCTTTGAAAGTTTGTAGAAAGATGCTCCGTTGACATATGTTGCAACTGATAGCTGCAGGTTTCCAACTGGAGTACTCCCAAGAACAGGCTGGCTATTCCAGTTTCTTGTAAACTGACAATGGGGGCACAGCTGCTGCACTGATATGAATGTACCGATCCTTCTGGTTTGTACATCACACACACGCTTGCACACAGGACATGATTCAAAAAGCTCCATGAGGCAGGTCTCATACACGATGTATGTGTTGATCGTCTGGGGGGGGGTTTTGTTCTTGACCACTAAAACAAAAAAATAGAAGTTAAGATCCATCACACAGATTGTTGCTTTAGAGATCTTTGGTGTTTCCCTATTATCAATGTTTGAATTATATACAGCAAAAAATACAATACATAGACAAACTCACACATAGTAATATTTCAGTAACTTACGACATGGCTGTTGTTTCTGTAGCATTTGTTATGGATTCTGCTGGATCATAAGTTGCATCCTGGCCTTCGGAAAACACCAAAGAAGAGCTTCCCTCAAATGGATCTTCGTATTCCTCTTCAAGATCCACACGGGGCCTCTTTGGTGGTCTCTTTAAGGGGGTGGATGTTAAAAAGGGCACTGGCACTTCCAACGGAAGTGTTTCGACACCAACGCTTCTGCAGGGAATTTTAGCCTGGACAGCTGTAACATAATTGTATTTGACATTAAAAACAAAACAAAAGATAAAACAAAAATATTTTACAACAATTAGAAGCACACAAATTAAAGGCTACAACATCAGAATGTCAAGATGTATCCAAAGAACATTTGAAAAACGTGCTTCTAACCTGTACTTCGATGTGAACCAAGAGTCCTCGAGGATAGCTGTGTACGAACAGTACGGTACTTGGGTGGGTCAGTCTGACATGCAGAATCTGTCATCACAGGTAATCTGCTGGTAGCATGTGAGGTGCTGGCCTGTAAAGAAGAAAACAAAATCATCTCAATTTAGTATTCAGGATGAGAAAATACTATTTAGATAAATATCGTCTGAAATCCCAAAAGATGGGGGCTAAAACTCTCTATTTAGCAAAGCTCTTTGCTTAGCCTTTTCCAATCTGAGTTAGTTTTGAACCGTAACGTGCATGCTGTGTTTCTGACTCAATACAGATGATGTGTTGGAGAGGGGCTGAGCTCAGTAGACTGACTGTAATGAGTGCTAGCCACTAATTAGCCTGTTGCTAGGTAAGGCCTCGTCAACAACAACAGACCAACAGGGCTTTAGTTCTGTTTTACTCATGGTGTGTGTGTCCCCTCACATACATACACACAGTGTTGTATCCTAACACATCCCCATTTATATTCATGTGCGTAAACAAGTAAACATACAAAAGCTTTTACATATAACGCTGGAAAAAACGGCATGTCTCATTAGCGTAGCGTAACTTAGCTTACAGATCTGATCGTTCTTACAGACTACAATCACAAAAGCTTTTACATATAACGCTGGAAAAAACGGCACTTACCTACAGAAGATTACGTTTGTTATTATAACTTACTCAATATGATTTTAGAGGATACAAAATACTAATAAATAGGAGAATAAATACTTGTGTTATCGGCTAGGGCGTGGCTTTACAGCCTTCACACAGATCGCCATTACGGCAGTATGTCTGAACATGTTAGCAAATGCCTGATAATTAAAATAAAAGACAAAGCAAAGACTGCGGAGCGTACAATATAAAATGTTATAAAAACATATAAACACCTAACCGATTACTATTTGGGTTTGAGGCGACATTGATACGGCGAAGCTACATGCTACATGCTACATACTACAAGCTAGAGATAGCTTTATCAGGAAAAACACCGCTAAATAAAAACTTACAGCTTCAAAATTGGATGTGTCCTCACTGGCCTGCTCCCGGATGGTTGGTATTGATCCCGGGTTTAGCATTAGCTTGGAGGCATATCCGTGTTGGACTTGAGAGAAGTTCATAAACATGTCCGTGGTAAAATGTTTGGAACACACAAACAGAAATCTGCCGTGGTCTTCTGGCACATGTCCCTTGAAAATGAAGTCTAGCCACAGATTATTTTCTTTTTCCACTGATGGCATTGCATGCAGTCCCCCTTCTCAAGGCTTGCAGCCAACAACAGCACAAAGTTTAACTCGCTTAGACATCCTGGCAAGAGCAGACAAAAACACAGATGTGACTGGAGTTGATTTAGCCTGCCGATAGCCTATATGCGAATGAGAGGTTTGGCAATGCACGTGGCCGTGGCTCATTCCCCTGATAGGTGGAGAGTTGACCAATAAGCGGAGCACGTCTCTTTGTGACGTAGGAAAGTGTTGAAATCTGGATCCGTTTTTTTCAGATCCGTTTCAGCCCCTTTTTTAGAGATTTGGCGAAGGAGGAAAATAGAGAGGGTTGTGTTTTCTGACACTTAGTGAGTTCCCTGGAACACCGGGGACACATATTCATGTATAAAAGACGTCCAAAGGTGCATTTTGCATGATAGGTCCCCTTTAAATCATACGATGCAATGGTATAATGCAATACAACAAGGTTAGACTCATGGCTGTTAGCAACTGGATTACTCTCCGCCAAAATGGAACAGTTAACAGATCCAACGTTATCTTCTTGAAACCTGCTTCATAACTTCAACATCCTGGCTAGCTTAACGAGAATTTAAGAACAAGGCTGTCCATCTTCAGAAAAAGAAAACACTAAACACTTGTTCAGTAGCACCAGTGTTCAAAAACCAAGTGTGAAACATCTCTTTGGTAATATTATCAAAGTGAAGCAACATCAGAAGTACCACACCTCCACCTCATAAAAGAGTTGCACAGTTTTCCAGTGGTTGCAAATTAAATGCGAAATTACAAATATTCTTTATAATTAGCCACATAATAAAATCAATAGAATGCTATAGCTGGAGATGAACAAAGAAAAATGCCAGCTGCTACTGTTTGTTCCTTGGCAGCCTCCCCGATATGTGCATCCAGCCAGTTCAGAAGACTTCATTAATCAAAAATGTAAATTGCAAAGTCTTTATTACTTTCATATCGCCATACTTGATGTCCTTTTTATAAGAAGCCAACGTTTACCACAGGTCGTAGGTAGCATGTTGTGATTATATCAAACCTTTCGGTCTGCTTGACTTTGTAATGATCTACTCACAATATACCGGCCTTTCATGTTCTATAGCTTAAAGGTCCCATGTCATGGCCATTTCTACTGATCATAATTCCATTGTTGAGGTCTACTAAAATAAATGTATATTGTGCAATTTTCCAAACTCACATTGGTGTCTCATACAGCATCTCTGTATAGTAGCCTATGTGTGATTCACTCTCTGTTCTAAACGGCTAGTTAGAGCTCCTTCTCCAATGAGGCGTTCTGGGGCAGCACAGACAGGTCCTTTCTGTGTTAGAGTTTTACTCGCTACAGGGTGTACTTTGAGGGTTTGTGACTCTGCAGACCGTTTACATGTATACAAAGCTACATAACACACAAGGGGATGGGTAATAACCAGAAAAGCATGATATGGGACCTTTAACATGAACACACATTCTGATCGCAGCGCCCTGTATGATTCGATATTTGTTTTTCAGTAGTTTGTGCATTGACAGTTCTTATTTCCATCCCACCAGAATAACTGGCACAGTGGGAGAGCACCACACACATTCATTAACACTTCCTAATTTGACTGAAATTGTCCTTAATGTGAAGTAATTATACAACGTAATGTGAATGACGAAAGATCTGCTGCAAAAACAGAAATCATACATCAGAACTGAGACCCCACTTCATATTAATCACACCAAGCAATGTTTTGTGGGTTGCCATGCCAACCACATGTTCATAAATACCTTGTTTACCTGAAGCATATTTAATCTGCTGGTGAACAGTGTATACATGCCATAACACTTTTTCCTTTACAAATATTGCATTTATGTAGCAATAAGAATATGTATAAAGTTATCTCTATATAATTGTTACAAACTAGAGTTGTGTTAAGCATCAACTAATATATAAAATATGATAAACTTGTGCTAACAAATTAGTTTACAGTGTTTCATAAATGCCACAAAATGATGATCTTTTTTCTCAACAATTCTAGATATACATTACTCCATCAATATCGCTGATATGTTTGTAATTTGTCCTGTGTACCAGCATTTTAGTCCAGTAATTGGGACGCCCCAGCTGATGCAAGATGGAAATAACAGTGCTCCCAGTTTGGCCACATAAACAAAGATGATAATGTCAATGAGTGGGAAGCCGGTGAGGGATTGTGTCCTTGTAACAGAAACAAGGACCTCAGTGCAGAGGGATTAAAGCTGTAATCACGGTGCAACATTTTAGTTTGAAATTGTTTTTGTAATGGTTCCTAAATGGCACTACTCCATGCAGGAACTTTTGTACATCAAAAGTTGTCTCTGTTCACTCCAGTGTTGTAGTCAAGTCACCAATTCACGAGTCCAAGTCACTCTCGAGTTCCCACTCTTCGAGTCCAAGTCCGAGTCACCTAGGGAGAGTCGTAGTCGAGTCCGAGTCCAAGTCACCCAAGGAGTGTCCGAGTCCGAGTCACCAT